CTTGTATCTGTTGAGGCTTGCTTTGTTCTATTTTAAAGAAGGTTCCACGAGGTGTTGAAAAGAAGGTAAACTCTTGATTTTGGGTGAAAAGTTCTGTAGATATCTATTAGGTCCTTTTGAATTAGAGCCTCTGTAATTACCTTTATTTCCCTATTTGGCTTCTGTCTAGATGATCTATCCCTTGGTGAAAATGGGGTGTTGAAGTCTCCCACTATTAAGGTATTGGGATTGATGTGTGATTTAAGTTTTAATAATATTTTATTTATGAATTTAGGCTCTCTTATATTTGGGGCATAGATGTTCAAAATTGTGATGTACTCTTGGTGGATTTTTCCTTTGATAAGAATATAGTGCCCCTCCTAATCTTTTTTGATTAATTTTGGTTGAAAGTCTATTTTATTAGATATTAGAATAGCTACCCCAGCTTCTTTTTTTTTTTTTTTTTTTTTTTTTTGGTCCATTTGTTTGAAAAACATTTTTACAGCACTTTCCTCTGAAGCAGTGTTTATCTTTGTAGCAGAGGTTTCTTGAGTCAGCACAATGTTGTATCCTGTTTCCACACCCAATCCGTTAGTCTGTGTCTCTTTTTTGGAGAGTTGAGTCCATTGATGTTGATAGATAATAGTGCCCAATGAACATGAGTTTCTTTTATTGTGGAGTTGATGGTCTTACTGTGATTCATTGTTTATTTTCTTTTAATTTTTGTTGGGATATTATCTGTATGCTATGTTTTCTTGGGTATAGTTGTTTTCGTTGGATTGGAGTTTTCCTTCTAATATCTTCTGTAGGGATGGTTTGCTGTGTATATATTGCATGAATTTAGTTTTTTTTTCATGAAATATTTTGTTTTCTCCATCTATGTTGATTGAAAGCTTTGCAGGGTATAGTAGTCTTGGTTGGCATCTGTGGTCTCTTAAAGTATTCTTGACACCTGCCCAGGACTTTCTGGCTTTCTGGCTCCCTGGCTTCTGAAGAGAAGTCTGGTGTGGTTCTGATAGATCTACCTTTATATGTTATTTGGCCTTTTTACTTTCCTTCTGCATAAGGAAATTGCACGCAATTACCACCAGTGCCTGCTACATTTACAGCGCATGCACAAGTAACCCCTTAAATGCCTGCAAGGCAGAGACCCTGCCACACACTCAAGGGTTCAACATTCTCTATCACTCTGTCCCTCAACGCACACTTTCATAGAAGAAATTTTCTTCTATGATTTTGTTGAAAATATTTTCCTGGCCTTAGAGTTGGGAATCTTCTTTTTCCTCAATTCCTATTATTCTTAGATTTTGTCTTTTTATGTTGTCTTGGATTTCTTGGATAGTTTGTGTCAGGAATTGTTTAGATTTAACATTTTCTTTGACAGATACATCAATTTTTTTCCATTGTGTCTTTCACACCTGAGAGTCTTTCTTCCATCTCTTGTAGTCTGTTGGTTATGCTTACTTCTGTAGTTCCCGTTTTCTTCCCTAAGTTCTTCCTCTCCATGATTTCCTCCTTTTGTGCTTTCTTTAATTTTTCTACTTCTATGTTCAGATCTTGAACCATTTTGTTTATCTCCTTCACCTATCTGACTGTATGTTTTGTGCTTTTCCTTCAATTCCTTCACCTGTTTATTTGAACATTCCTCTGTTTCTTTTATTTCTTTCAGATGGTTTAATTATTTCCTCTCTGAAGGCCACAAACTATTTGGCTGCATCTTCCTGTATTTCTTTACAGATGGCCCTAATCTGTTTGACTTTAACCTCCCTGTGTTTCTTCACAGATGGCTATAATCTGTGTGACTTTATCTTCATCTATTTCTTTAGGCATTTCATTTGTTTCCTCCATCATCCTCTTCATAAGCATAGATGTAGGATCATCTTCTTGACTTTCATATATGATAGTGTAGCCAGGGCTACTTGCCCTGGATACCTGGGTTCTGAAGATGCCATATTCTTTGGCTTTTGTTGGTTGTGCTTTCACTCTGGCCCCTACCCATCTGGCTGTCTCTGGTATTGGCTGTTACTTTCTTATTCCTGCTGGAATCCTGGGGTCAGGAGAATCCCCTTGTCAAGAAGATGTTTATTACTTAAGGAGGCCTCCTCAGTTGTTTAGGTATAGTAACTTAATGATCAGTGCTTCTTAGGAATTGCCACAGTTCACCTCAAGTGTAAGTACCTGTGTTGTAACTGTGGTTGTTGGTAGTCAAGGGATCTCTCCTCTAACTAGGAGAAGTCCTGAACACAGCTGTTCTGCCACTCGGTTTCTCGCTCTGAATTTAGTGAATTGCTGTAGCTGCTCTTACACTGTGTTTTCTGGGTACAGTCCTCCTAAGTAACCAGGGAACCCCACAGTTTGTTCAGTTTAGCTAGGGAGATAGGTTGTGTCTTGGAGCAGTGTCTGGGGGCTGATCCCGTGGATGCTAGGATTTTGTAGGTCTGAGGCTGGAGCTTTCTGCCCCATTACCCAAGAGATGGTCAGTGGCAGGTGAGAGCAGCACTCATAAGTGTGGCAGGAGTGTAGAGTCCAGAAACTGCGTGAACCCAGGGACTTTTCCCAGAATTAGCTATGTGTCCTGAGGTTGAACCTGCTGGTTCCCCCATGGTGGGTTTCTTCCCTACAGGGAAACCCAGTCCGTGGTGTTTTGAGGTCCACAGTTCAGTCTGGGATGGTGAGTAGCGCAAGCAGGCTCAGGCAAGTGGATCTGTGCTGGCTACTGGGTACCTGCAGGAAGCTGGCAACCTTTCCAGAGAACTTTGGAGGAGAGAGTTCAGCTGGATGCCCTGAGGTGTGACCTGATATTTTCTCCAACATGGGGTTTCCTCCCAACAAGAAAACCAAGTCTCTGGTGCTTTGGGGACCACAGTTCTGTCTAGGACAGTGAGTAGGGCGCACAGGCTGGTCTCTGAGCTGGTGTCTGAGTGCCTGCTGGAGCCTGGGACCTTTTCCAGTATTGTCTGGGTGACTTGATATAGGGCCTGATTGCTTCCTTCACAGTGGGGTTTTCTCTCAACTGGAAATCTCAGTCTCTGGTGTTGTAGAACCCACAGTTCAGTCTGGGATGGGGATCATAGCATGCAGGCTTGTCACTCTGGGCTGGAGACTGAGCACCTGCCAGGGAGAACTTCTAGGATTTCTGGGTGACTTGAGAACGGACCTGATTTCTTCCCTCATTGTAAGGATTCCTCTCACCTGAGAAAAAAACAATGGCTGGTGTTTTAGAGACCAGAGTTAAGTCTATTGGTTATTATGGAGTCACTGCTTGTCCTGCTTGTCCAACACAGTGTCCTCTTAGTGCTGCCATCTTCCTTGGTGTCACCATCTTTTTTAACTTTTAATTAATTCTTTATGAATTTCACATCATGTTCCCCCATCCCAGTCATCTCTCATCCCCTTGTAGACACTCTCTACCCTTGCAAACTTTCCCCAACAGAGAAAACAAATCTCACTGTGGAAGCTGTAGTGTTTTATAGTGTGCCCCATAGCATACCCTTTTGTCCATACATCTTTACTTGCAAATGTTCGTTGCAATGATTTGTTGGTATGGTTTGAGGCCTCTGGCTATTCCTACACTATCAATACTGGAACCTAACTGGGACTCCTCTCAGATATCCTATTGTTGCCATGTGCCAAAAAGATCCTGTAATTTGGTTGACTGGTCCCTTTATTCACTCCAGCATTTCATTGATGAGATAAATGTTGGGGTGATCCAATTCAAAGCCCTGGATCTGGAACTGATACATATATATATATATATATATATATATATATATATATATATATA